AGGAGAGAGGAAACTCAGCTGAATTTTTAGCACTGGCCTATGAACTTTCACCTTCTTTTGTGCCTCAGAAAATTAACTTTCTGTAAATAAATCGCTACTATTCTTTTGAATTTTCTATTATATGGTTCAGTCCTACACCTAAATGACATGCAGTCATTAAGACTTCAATTCAAAGCTTCAGTTTATTTAGTGCCAAAAGAGTTCGCCTAACGGTTGTATCATCATTTACTTATCTGTTCCAGTGTTATTGTAGCCTCCTCATTCTGTTTTCATTTTTTTGGAAATTCTAATCCAATGAAGTTTGCTACGTATTTGTGTTCACTGTGTCTGTTTATCTAAGATTTTAGTGCTCTTCTTTTTAAGTAATTTTTCTTCAGTCTATTTTCACTTTACATAAATATGTACTCTTGTAAACCAGTAGAATATTAAAGTTACGAGATTAAAGAGATTCCACCATTTTATCCTTTCCTTCCCTCTCTATGCACAAACTGAAAACACTGGCTCAAAATTTCACTCCTAAGAGGCAGTGAAATATGAACCATTTTATTCAAAAGCCTTCTTCCAACAAACAGCATAGCTGTACTTTGTTTTCAAGCCTATATCAGATCAGGTTATTGGATGAATTTAACACCACTTAATATACTTTCACAACTCTTTGATTCCCTGTTTCTCCCCATTTTAGTTATTTTTAATTTATTTTTAATCTTCATTTGACTGCAATTGCCAAAGCCTTATAAATTCAATTTGTTTTACTTATACAATAGATATGTTTTTCTACTAATAGATGCCTTAATCAACAGAAAAGTAAATGAGTCTATTTAGATTGAATTAATATTGATAACTTTTCTTATTCAAGTTTAATAATAGTACTGACTTTACTGATTTAACACTGTCAGCTCGTTGATAATGCAGCCCAAAACTCTTCATATTCTTAGGATTGCGTCTATCTCAGTCATTCACAGTGCTGTTAGGTCCATCCTAAGAAATGATTCCACTTGTTTACATGTTAACTGTACTGACCCTTACTTTTTTGTCACATAGAAGGCATATCAAAAGCAGGAGTTTGTGAGTGTGTGTGTATGCGGTGTGTGTGTCTGTCTGTCTGTGTGTATCTGTGTGTGTCTGTGTGTGGGGGCGATGTATGACTTGCATGCCTGTATCAACTGCTGCAACAGTGGAATTAGGAACTGGGATAGTTATACAGGAAACTAGAAACTGTAAGTTACTTTAACTTTTGTGCTAATATAATAACGTATAGAGGAAAAACCAAATCTATGGATAAATGCTAATTTTCTGCTGTTTCTGAATCAATATTGCATTCTTATTCAAGATTCACTGGTAGTAAATGAATACCACAGCTAACACTTAGCAAGAACTGAAAATGTTAACTTAGTAGTAACTGCAGATAAGATCAACTTGATTATCAGAATACTATCAGAATTTTAGCTAAATCCAGAAGGTATGATCCTTTTATAAGCAACCTACTCCTCAGTTCAACGCTCCATTATTGCCAATGGGTCAAAACTGCATAGGAAGTTGAAATGCCCCCTTACCATGTTGAACAAGAAAGTTTACAAAAAGCAGAATTGTTGGTAGCACTAAACATATCTAATGACAAAAAAGATGAAATGAAAGAAACAGGAAGGATATAGACAGTTCATTAAAAAATGGGAAAAATACAATTTTTTGGTAGGTTTTGTGTTAGCAAGTACTAGAGACCCAATATAAAAATAATCAAAACCAGCAGCTGCAAATCAGAGACGGACGTTGTTTTCTGTTTGGTTGGTTAAGTCTGAATGCCTGCCCTCTGACGCCTTGTAAAGTCTGGTAAAGGTGGCAGAACTGTGTTCTTATGATCCCTTGAAACCTGAGACAAAAGTACACGACTCAGCCAGAGCTAGGACCCGTTCTCCTCCAGATTCCCTACCCTAGATATTTTCTGCTCTAAGACTTTGTGAATCTTTTCAAACTTTGTTCTGGCAACAAAAATAGCCAGAGTGCAATGCACACAGTGGCAGCTCTACTGAATTCCAACAGCTCAGCAGTGTTCCTGGCATGAGGGACAATTTTCTAACCAAACTAAGTGCATGGTTAAGATAATGGCTGTGTCTTGGATGCCTGGATTTTTGTATCCTAGTGTTGTTTTCCAACCATGTCCTTCAGCCTCCCCTGCTACTTCTGGAATATATCTGACATCTTCTCAATGAATCAGTTTCAGTTAAATTAACTCTATAGTTTTTCATGTTTTAAATAAATGACCTGCAGGCATGGTGGTGGCACATGCCTTTAACCCCAGCACTTGGGAGGCAGAGGTGAATTTCTGTGAGATCAAAGCCAGTCTGGTCTCCATAGCAAGTTCCAGGCCAGTTGTGGCTACAGGAAGATGCCTCAAAATTAATAATAATAATAATAATAATAATAATAAAACTTGCTTACTTGCACTATTGATAACTGTGAATAATATATATTCATGAAGAGCTAAATAATATATATTCATGAAATGCATTGTCTACATTTTAGTCTATATTTTAATTTGAACACTACAAGACATAAAACACAATTAAAATCAACAGAGATGAAATCTTAAGGTATTTTTTTGTATTTCCACTAATGATTTTGAATACTTTTATATGTGTTTATTAGCCAATTATATTTATTTCAGTTGCCTTTTTGTTACTATTTTGTTCATTTTCTTTTTTTATTGATATTTTATGTGTATGAGTTTTTGGCCTGCATGTGATTGAGTACCCATACATGCAATTCACTTGGAGGCCAGAAGAGGGCGCTGGATCCCCTGGAGCTGGATTTACAGATAGTTGTTAGCCAACAAGTGGGTGCTGAAAAAGGAAACTAGGTTTTCTAGAACAGCAGCCAGGGCTCTTAACCACTGAGCCTTCTTTTTGTGATTAGATCTTTTTTCTAGATCTTAGAACCAAACTCAGGACCTTTCACTTGCCAAGTAAGCACTCTGTCCCGGAGCTAAATTTCCAACCTCCATTCGTATTATTTTGAGAACTCTCTGTTCAGATCCAAGTCCTGTGCTTTTGTTGGATTGTTTACTTGATGTTTCGTTTTTTAATTCTTTGTACACTCCAGTTATTAATCCTTTTTCATGTGTAGCTAGCAAAGATGTTCTCACACTCTGTGGACTGTTTTTTCTGCTGTGCAGAAGTTTCTTAGTTTCAGGTTTCATTTTTCGATTGTTGGCATTGAATAGAGTCCTGTTCAGAAAATCTTTACTTGTATCTGTGTGTTGTATTGTGCTTTCTACCTTTGCGTCTAACCATTTCAGAGTTTGAAGTTACACACTGTTGTCCTTAATCCAATTGGAATTGACTTTTGTGCAAGGTCAGAGAAAGGGTCATATGTGGTTATGCAGTTTTCCAAACACCATTTGCTGAAAATGCTGTCTTTCTTACAGTGTATATTTTTTTCTAAAATCAGGGAGCTATAACTGCAGAGACTTAAGCCTGAATCTTCTATTTTATTTCATTAACCTCTTCTTGTAACAGTACCATGCTTTTACTTATATATTCTATGTAGTATAACTTGCCATCTAGCATGGAAATCCTTCTACCGTCCTTTGTACCCAGACCTAGACTTGTTATCCCAGTTTTTTTGTGATTCCCTGAGAACTTTAGGATATTTTGGGTTTGTTTTTGTTTGTTTGTTTGTATTTTTGTATTTTTTTAAAGTTTAGTAGATTTTTTTTATTTAAAATTTTTTATTAGCATTGCTTTCTTTACAAAGTGACATGATTGCATTGACTTTGTATAGGCTGTAAATGGCAAAATCATATTATGGGAACAGTGAAAAATTTCACATTATTGATGAAGCAATTTATAATATATGATATAATTACATACTGTTAATTTGAGGATTATATCAGTTTAGATAATACAGTATTTTCTGTTTCTTTTTTAAATTTTAGTTTTACCTTTGAGACTGTGATTTTTTTTTTTTCTTTTGGTTTTTTGAGACAGGGTCTCACTGTAGCCCCAGCTGGCCTGAGACTTGCTTTGTAGACCAGGCTGGCCTCAGTCTCACAGTGATTGCCTCCCTTTGCTTCTCAAGTGCTGGGATTAAAGGCCTGCACTGTCACCTCTGGCCAAACTGTGATTGTTATCTCTAGAAGTGCAAAGAGGGCATAGGTAAAGGCACACTGCGACTGTAGAAGAGCGTTGGAAAAGTAATGGAAAGCTTCTAGGTGCCTGATAATGAGAGAGATTCAATATCAAGGCCTGGATACCCAGAAACATGTGAGGAGTGAGGACTAAGCTGGCCCTCAGAGGAAGCTGGAGGTTCATTCCAGAAAATTAGGACTCCCAAGACCCAAATCTGCAAATAACAGATACCTCCTCTGTCCCCAAGGTAAACGGGCAATGACTTTGCCAGGCACAAACTGGTCTGTGGTGGGGGGTGGGGAGGGTTATGGGAAATGTAGTCACTCAAAAAAGTCAGAAGACTGAAAATGCTGCCCAACATCAGAAGTCCTCCATGCTCTACTCTGCTCCACCATTAGTCTACTGCCAGAGGAAAGCCGGGCACTGGTTACTCATGTAACGGGACTACAACTCCAGCTCATAAGAGAACACAGCTCTGGCTCACAGGAGGGCAGGACAGCTCCAAGTCCATGGGAAGACTGCAAAAAAATGGGTTCACAGGGGAACAAGGCTCCAGATTAAAGGGAGGGGACCACAGCTCCAGCTCACACAAGGGGACCACAACTTTGGCTTATAGGAAAAGTTCACAGCTCCAGCTCAAGGATGGGACCACAACTCTGGCAGTAGGGGGCCACAGCTCTGGCTCAAAGGAGAAGCCCACAGCTCCAATTTTAAGACTTTTTTTCTACTTCTGTGAAGAATGTTGTGAATATATTTATTGGGATTACCCTGAGTCTGTAAACTTCTTTTAGTAAGATGAATATTTAAAAAATATTAATTCTACCCACCCCAATCCATGAGCATGGGAGGTCTTTCCAACTACTGTCTTCCTCATTTATTTTTTAAATATGACACACAAATTTGTGTGTCATCCTTGTATAGGGGCCATGCTAATCTTCTCTGTATCGTTCCAACTTTAGTATATGTGCTGTTGAAGCAAGCACAATATTTTGTTTTTATCAGAGATTTAAAGTTTTAATGTAAAGTTCGTGTACCTCCTTTGTTAAGTTTGTTGTTATTCATTGAGGTTGCTGTGAGTGGAGTTATTTTTTTTAATTTCTTTCTCAGCATGTTAATATATAGAATGGCTACTGATGTTTGTAAGTTATTTTTTGAAAGTGTTGATCAGTTCTCAGAGTTTTCTAGTGGAGTCTTTAGGACCTCATATGTAGAATCATGTCATTTGGAAATCCCAGTTGGAATGGCTAAGATTAAGACAACAAATTATAATAAATTCTGGCAAGGATATGGGAGGACCCTCTTTCATTCTTAGCAGAAGTCCAAACTGTGCAGACACTCTGTAAATCAATGTATATGTGCCTCAACGAACTAGAAATAGATGTAACATATGACTCAGCATATACCCAAAGAACTCTCTCCTCCTATAGAGATAGTTGTAGTTTTACATGTGTTCATTGTTGCTATATTCATAATATGAAGGAAATTTAAACAGCTTAGATGTCTATAAACTGATGAATGGATAAGGAAAATGTACATATACACAAGGAAATTTTATTTTGCTTTAAAGAAAATTAAATTATGAAATTTGCAGGTAAATAGATGGACTTGAAAAAAAAATACCCTGAGGTCAATCAGGCCCAGGGAGACAAACACTGTATGTCTCTTATACATGTGAATCCCACTTTCAAATATGAAGAGTTGTGTGTTTCACTTACACTACCTTTAGAAGACAAGAAAGTAGAAAGGGGACACTGGAAGGGAGGTAAAAAGTGTGAAGGGATACAGGTAGTACGAAGGAAGAAGTGAGTAATGAGGGGGAGATTAAAGTTTGGGGGAAGATAGGAGGGGAAAGAAGAGGAGGGTGTCAGAGGAGAGATAACTAATACTCAAGATGATTGAAAAAGGCTATTTTGGAAACCTACTATTTATTAAGCTTTGACATATATGATAGACATATAGATATATAGATGATAGATATAAGATAGATAGATGATAGATAGATAGATAGATGATAGATAGATAGATAGATAGATAGAT